AGTTTTGTACATAAGCTTCTTACTACTTCTGTCAATACTCTTGCTGATGTATGTAAAATAATTTTTGGAGGTCCTTAACTCTTTTGCTTTTGTTCTGGATTTGTAGTTTCCTAAGAAATTGCCAAATAATTTTCCAGATTGGCTTCCCTTTTTATATTCTCCCCGAGCAAGGTGTGTTTGTTCCAGTTTCTCCACATCTCACCAGTATTTGCGGTTACTGTTAGTTTTTTTGTCATTTTGATAGATGCGTGGTTTCATGTCATTATGATTTGAGTTTATATTTCTCTAATGGTTAATGATACTGAACACCTTTTCAAGAATAATTATTGGTTATTTGTATGTTTTCTTCAGTGAAATGTATTCATTGCTCATTGCTCATCCAAATTTGTTGGATTTATTTTTAGTCTTGAGTTTTAAGAGGTTTATATATATATATACCCCTTTGTTGAATATGTTTATAAATATTTTCTCTCAATTTATAGTTTGTCTTTTCATTCTCTTTTTTAAAGTCTTTTCAAAATTTATTTATTTTGAGAGAGAGAGAGAGAGAGAGAGAGGGACAGGGACAGAGAGAGAGGAAGAGAGAGAATCCCAAGCAGGCTCAGCACTATCAGTGTAGAGCCCAATGCAGGGCTTGAACTCATGAACTGATGAACTGTGAGAATGTGACCTGAGCCAAAGTTGGACACTTTCACAACTGAGCCACCCAGAGACCCCTATCTCTTCATTCTCTTTCTGTTCTTTTGCAGAGCAAAAGATTTACATTTTATCAATTCTGCTTTTATGGATCATGTTTTTAGTGTCAAGTCTAAGAATTCCTTGTCTAGCCTTAGGCCCTGAAGGTTTTCTATGAGATAAATCTTACAGTATGTTTTTTTCTCTGAAAATCTAATAATTTTTGTTTTACAGACATCTTCGTAGTCTTGAAGTTTTTGTTTGTTTTGATCTTCTGGAATTAGAATGCATTTAAAAAAAATAAATGGCAAACAGCCCATCTTATTTTATTTTTAAAGTTTATTTTGAGAGAGAGAAAGCGCATGAGCAGGGGAGAGGTAGGGAGAGCAAATCCTAAGCTGGCTTGACGCTGTTAGCACCTAGCTTGATGTGGGGCTTGATCCCATGAACTGTGAGATCATGACCTGAGCCAAGATCAAGAGTTGGATAGATAACCAGCCAACTGAGCCACCCAGGCGCCCCTGGAGTTAAAATTCTTGATGACATTTTTTTTCTTTCAGCACTTTTAAGATGTTTGTTATCTTCTGGCTTGCATAGTTTTTGAAGAGATATCTTCTATCATTCTTATATGTGCTCCTCTGTATGTAATTTTTTTTTCCCTTTAGCTACACTGAAGATTTTTATTTTTATGCTGGTTTTCAGGGATTTGATTTTGATATACCTTGTTGTGGTTTTCTTTTTCTTTATCCTTGACATTCGTTGAGCTTCTTGGGTTTGTGTCTCTATAGTTTTCATCAAATTTGGCAAATTTTTGATGTTATTTCTTTAGATATTTATTTCTACACTCCTGTCTCTGGTCCCTGTTTCTGGGTCTCTTACATGTTTGTTAGACTGTAATATTTTCCCTTAATCACTGACACTCTTTTCAGTCTTTTTTTTTTCTTTATGTGCTTCAACATGGACAGATTGTATTTCCCTGCCTTCAGTGTCAGCAGTATTTTCTTCGTCAGTATCTAATTTGATATTAATTTCACCTAGTGAAGTTTTCACTTTGTTCATTGTATTTTTGATCTCTAGAAGTTCTGTTTGGTTCTTCTTTATACCTTAATATTTCTCTTGCAGTGTTCATATTGTCCTTTAAATAGCTGGCTCTCTTTGTTATAGTTGTTCTAATGTCCTTGTTTGCTCGTTTTATTGTGTCTATTATAGTGGATCTACCTGGATTGACTGTTTTTAATCCTGGTTATTGGTCACATTTTCTTGATTCTTGGCATGTCTACTACTTTTTGATTGGATGCTGGACCTTCTAAGTTTTACATTGGTGAGTCTTCCTTTCTCTTGTGCCTTATTCTGGAACGAGGTTATTTGCAGTTTACTTTGATCCTTTCATGGCTTGTTTCCACACTTTGTGAGGACAGGTCCAGAGTAACCTCTACTTTAGGGGTAGTTTAGCCCTATTACTAAGGCATGGCCTTTATAGGACCTGATTTGAATGTACCAAATAATCAAATTTAAGTGCTGCTCAGCACTTAAATGCCTTCTAGTCCTATGAGAGCTCTGTGGACCATTCAGCAGATAGAGTTTCAGTTACTTTTTGCCTTCGTTACGTTTTAGAAGTCAGCTATCTGTCAAAGAATCCTTACTTAAATTTTTAAAGGATTTTTTTCCCCTGTAGCATCTTTTCCTCCCAAACTCTACCCCATGACCCCACAACTTCCAGTTGCCTCGTTTTCTCTGAATTCTGACTTACGTCTCCATCGTAACTCAGTGAGACTTACATACTTTGTTTGGGACCCTAGTCCTGTACCACAGTTCAGCTTGCATCTAGGCAGAAACGTAGGGATCTTGTGTGGCTTGCCTTGTTTCTTCTCTCTCAGGTAAATAATCCTAATTTCCTGTTTTTAATGTCCGAAAATCATGGTGTCATATATTCCTTCCAATTTTCTTTTTGTTTACAGCAGTCAGGTAAATTTGGGCCCTGTTTTTCCATCGTGGCTGGAAATAAAAGTCCTGTTCTTTGAATGTAAAAGAAAATCAGCAAATTTGGGAGCAATTTTATATTTACAGAAAAGTTGTAAATATAGTACAGAGTTCCAGTACACCTCTCACCCACTTTCACCTGTTGTTAACATCTTAAAATTTTGTCAAAACTAAGAAACTGACATTGGGATGTTACTATTAAGTAAACGTCTGTATTTAATTGTATTTAAAACACTGCCAGACCACCTTCCACAGTGGCTGTACTGTTTTGCATTCCCACTGGCAATGAATGAAAGTTCTTGCATTATAAGAGAACATGGTGAAAACTAGTTACAGTGAAACACCAACATTTCAACTAATTTGAAATTACAAAAAGCAAGTAAAGAGAAGTGACTCAAAATTGTTGAGCCTTTCATTACACATGACTCATGTTAACTGTATAACAACAATAACAGAGGCATTCACAGCACTCTGATTATTCTGAGAGCTTTACATTTATTGACTTATTTAATCCTTACAACATCCCTTTGTTGGTGGTGATGTTATTCTCTGCTCCTACAGATCATCAAAGTGAGAAGTTGAGTTTGGCCACATGGCTATGGAAATGGAGTCATTCTGGCCCCAGAGCCCACCCCCTGAACCCTTCCACCAGGGATGGTGCTTTTATCAGCTGCACATCAGAATAACTTGAGGTGTTGAGATGGTCCTTCACTTGGTGGGAGATGGTCCTGGGCACCTACAGTTTGTAGTTAGGATTGGGAACATTCTCTTCTTACTGTAGACCGAACCTTCACCTTAAAGTAGATACATGTAATGTGTTAAAATACACTTTTTGATTTCATTCATAACAGTGAACACTTTAGTTCATGTTTTGATTTTGACATTTTAAGATCTTTTTGCATATGTAGAACTTGAGGCAAATGAATTGTGGGTAACTGAAAATCATCTGTCTCTTCATTTTGGTGTCTAGGCGCTCTGGCTTCCATATAACAAATGTAAATGTGTATATATGTGTGTATGTGCGTGTGTACTTATTTACATATAGTCTTTCAGTTCAGAGAATTTTTGGAGTCTCCTGATAGCGCAGTTGGGTATTCCTTCCTGAAATTCATGCTTAAAGAATATTGATTTTAAAATGTGAAATCACTTTATATGTACAGAGCAAGGAATAAACATGTCATAGAATGGTATAATTGTTTAAAACGTGTTAGACCCAGCAGGTTATTGTACCTTCACAGAGTTCATTTAATGCAGCATTGAATAATCTTAAATGTATTAATTTTGTATCTTATTTTGTGTCAGTGACATTTTAACCTTTGATGTTAGGTTTAATAATGTAGAAAAAATTTCAAAATTGATTGGTGAGGTATAGTAAATAAAATGATAGGTTTGAGAAGGTCAGAAAAATCTAGTTCTCTTAAAATCACTGATGTAAATTTATTTATATTAACATTTTACGTTACATTATGCAGATAGGCTCCATGCTCAGCTTGGGGCCTGAACTCACAGCCTTGAGGCTGAGCTGCATGCTCCACTAACTGAGCCGGCTAGGTGCCCCATAAATTTATTTTTTAAAATTATTACTATGTGGTCTTCAATTGTCACTGTTTTGCTCTGATCATTGGCTGCTGCTGGTTGTATAAAGTCCCCACCAGAGGGTGCCAAAGATACTTCTGTGGGAAACGTGTTATTTACTTAGGCTTGCCTGGACTTGTCAGCAGGATAACCTTTTTTTTTTTTCTTTTTTAAGAAAAGAATTTGATTCTTGTTTATGAGATTCCTTTTGCTGTGAAATAAATTATGTACCTTGACAGTTGAGTATTTTGACAGATACTGTAAATGATCAGTGTTTAATCTCTCCATGCTTGGTTCTCTGTCAGCATATTAGCTGGAAATAGCTTTGGTTTGCTTATTTTGTAAGTCTTCCATTTGAAATTAAAAGTTACATTTTCATTTACATAATAAGTGTTGATTTTTCTTTACACAATAGGTGTTTTTCTGAAAACCTGAATGTTTTAAAATGAACTAGCAGAACTAGTAATGTGTTTTGTGAGTTAAGAAAAATAACTCAAAATATATCTGTTTTGTATGGTTTTATTTTAAAATAACAACTTAAATCAGTAAATAGGTTTAATATTTGCCATTTCAGCATAAAATACCATTCTCAAAATACTGTTAGTTATCTGTGATGACCACATGTTTTGTGGCATGCACTTAGAGTGGGGTATGATAGAAAGTTTTGGTCCCCTTATGTTTGATAGACTTCTAAGTGAGCATTTTACAGACTGGTTATCTAGCAAAAGTATTGAACGGTAACAGCTCTGTTTTTCTTCTTCTTTTTCCAGATACCTTCACTCAAATAACATAGTTGTTGTTCCAGAAGGTAAGGGCACTCCCAATTTTTAGTTAGGAGATACCATAGTTTACACTTCGCTTTATAATAGTACTATAAATTTTGGTTGGTGTATTAGGGAATTTTACTTATAAAGCTTCTTTAGTAATTTCAAAGATTGTCCCCCCTGATTAGTAACTTCAGTTAACAATTTTGATTAAATTAAAAGATCTATGTCTTCACTATTTTGCGAGCAACAGAGACAGAGATATTAAGTATTAAAATGTTTTAATTGGTAGTACTTGCATTAAAGATTTGTCATAACACTTGAGTCAGATTAATTTTGGCTTTACCTTTCTTTTCTTCTTGAAGCCATTGGATCCCTCGTAAAACTCCAGTATTTGGATCTTAGTGACAATGCCTTAGAAATTGTTTGCCCAGAAATTGGTCGTCTGAGAGCTTTACGTCATCTTCGGTTAGCTAACAACCAACTTCAATTCCTACCTCCAGGTAATCATAGTCTGTAGCACTCAGTAATTTCTTGTCTATTTACAAATCTCTTATGCCTGCTTCTCACTGTGTGTCTAGGCAGTGTGCTTTGGGTGTATTTGGGATTTGGGGCGGTCCGTTTGTTTGAAGATGAAACTAAGGGTGAAATGTGTTTAAGGGTGTTTTCCCTGATGCAGTCGTAAGAAAGTGGCATTTATGCTTTTACCTACAATTATTACAATTACCCATTGCAGTCAGTGCCCCATCAAGTCACTGTCCTGATGAAATATTTGTACAAAAAAGTAATTCAGTTTGGAATATTTTACATAGAGAATTCAGATGAACTTTGCATGATGTAATCATTTTAGTATTCAAAAAGGAAATGCATACCCTGTTTTCTCTCATTCTCTAGTGAAGTAATTGTTGTACATTAACTTTGATTTAATAAATCTTACTAGAATTTCATAGCAGAATTTAAGTTTAAGTCCTGGGACTAATCAGTAGTGCCTACTGAACATCCTCTTAGATTGTGATGTGCCCAAGTTAGCACCAAACGTCCACATTCTCCTGAACTACCATTAAACCCCTTGACTTTCTTACAGGGAGCATCCAGGGACCTTCCTTTGTGAATCCGTACATTTGCAGATCTTGTCATATGTTGTTTCCCATATTAAAAAAAAAAAGAAAGATGAAGTATGTAAAAGAAATTTTTTTAACTTGTGCTTGAGGTGTTATATGAAAGTTACTCTGCATTTAAGAATGATGTCACATTGTTGAGGCTCATTTCTACTTAGTAACTTAGGAACACCAACCAGTCTCTTGGTGTATCCAGGCGAAATGTGTGATTCAGCCATAATTACAAATTATTACTACCTGTCGTGGGACTCCAGGGTCATATGAGAATGTCAAAAACTGCTTGTGTTTAATACACAAATGAAAAAATCTGTAATATTTCTTTGTGATATAAAAAAACACCTTCTTTAAAGGTTTTCAAATATAAAAATTTCTGAGTCAAACATAGTAATGGATTAATTTTTTAGACTTTACATGCTGGCCTCACTATGTAGGTTCAATATTGTTTACAAAAAGAGTACAGCAGTTGACTCTGCTTAAGAAGTTCTTTAACCCCATATAATTACTCTCTTACAATTTCCAGTTATAATTACTACAAAGAATTTCAATGTGGTGTAGGAGTCTGATCTTTCCTCTAGAGTTTATTGTGTATAATTGGGCCCAATGCTGTTTTATCATTCTAGCTTTCATCAAGTTTATATATTCAGATACTCAGGAAATTAGACTCTATTTTGGAGATTGCCTAGGAAATGTATCAGTAAAGATAATACTTTGGGTTTTCATACTCTCGTATATGAAACTTCTACAGATCTATTGTAGAATCAAAATACATGAATATAATAGTGTATTTATAAGCCCCTTTTAATATAAATTTAAGGAACATATGAGAAATACAATTCTCTGTTAAACCATTGTTCCTTGTATTCTATTATTCTGTTTTTTCCTGTAATATAAGAACATTTTGTGGTAGAATGTGGTCATTTCCTTCCATTATATACTCTTGGAGGTTAAGGATGTGCTACCAATATCAGTGACTGCTTCCTAATAACCAGCGAAGGGTATAGGTTTTCTGACTGCTTTCATATCATTTTTAATTTATATCTCTCTCACCCGTTGTGTGATGGATTTGAAGCACTTACTTCTCATTTTATTTCCATAGCTTCCTTCTGTTGCATATGTTTGGTTTTGCCTGTTTTGAGTAAAATTACATGTAGTAATAACTATACTTTGTATATGTGCTGCTGAAGTGAGCACAGTAATAACTATACTTTTTTTTTTTTTTTTTTTACAAATAGTTTATTGTCAAGTTTGTTTCCATATAACACCCAGTGCTCATCCCCACAAGTGCCCTCCTCCATGCCTATCCCCCCTCACCCCCACATCCATCAGTCCTCAGTTTGTTCTCAGCATTCAGGAGTCTCTCATGGTTTGCCTCCCTCCCTCTCCCCCACTATTTCCCCCCTTCTTCTCCCCCACGGTCCTCCGTATAGGAGGATAATAACTATACTTTGAATAGAAACTTTTGGCTGAGGCATGTGTAGATTTTTTTTGTTGTTCTAGACCATCATAAGTAGCAATGGACTAGATTTTACTAATTATTTGATTCACTTTATTTATCTTTTATGAGGTAATTTCAAGTGTTAACGATTTGAAAGGCGAAGGGCCTAGGTTCACAGCCCCCAGTGTTTGCTCACATTGGGCATATTCACTGGGAAAATATTCTAAGTGTAGTAAAAAGAAAACGTGAGGGCCTCCCATGTTGTCTCCATTTGATGACAGTAGAGATCAGCTAATGCTTGATGGTTAGCGCCTCCTGCCCAGCCCAGGCTATTATGTATAGACTTCTATGTGTTATATTTCCTCAAAAGACTTAGCGTTTCATTATGTGTATTTGTTGTGGTTGAAAACCTTTGAGTATAATTTCATATTCAGTATTTAAAATTCGAAAAATTTTATACAAGTATGTAGAAAATCCGAAACATATGAAATATCTACATGCATGTAGAGTTTTAAAATTAGTATCCAGAAACGGATTAGAGGGGCGCCTGGGTGGCTCAGTCAGTTGAGCGTCTGACTTCAGCTCAGGTCATGATCTCACGGTTTGTGGGTTCGGGCCCCGCATCGGGCTCTATGCTGACAGCTCAGAGCCTAGAGCCTGTCTTTGGATTCTGTGTCTCCCTCTCTCTCTGACCCTCCCCTGCTCATGCTCTCTCTCTCTTTCAGAAATAAATAAAACATTTAAAAAAATTTTAAAAATGAAAATAAAAATAAAAAAACGGATTACTGGGGTTTCATGAACGCCGTGAACTTTGCACAGTTTGATAACTGTGATTGTGCACATGTTATGAAGAAGGTCCAGGGTTTCCACCAGTTTCTCAAGCACACCCATGCCTCGTGTGGCTGATTCTGTTGAGCTGTCTGCCAGCACCCACATGGCCGCGGCCCTGGGACCTGGAGCCCATCTTCTGGGACGTATCTTTTCCCCATTCGGGTCGATCGCCTGTCCTCACGTTTTCCTACCTTGTGACATGGCCTTGTCTCTACAGTTGATTGGTCCTGGTGTCGGTACCTGACCCAGGGCCGTTCTCACCCTGGGAATTTTAGAGGAGGCTGCTGGGGGACAAGGAAAGAGGGTAAGAGACAGCAGGGAAAATGGAAAAAGAAAATCCGTCTCTTTCTCTCTGGGCTGTTGCACAACGCTGTGTAATCTTGTAAGGTCCTGGGAAGTAGGCACACGGACTGGGAAACCAGAAAAGAAAGAAAGATGAAGCAGATACACAGACAGAAGTTGGTGGCAGAGACTTTTTAAGTTTTCTTCAGTATCTCAGTTGCTGGGTGTGATCTTATGGCTCATAAGAGCACATCCCTTCGAATCCTCCCGCTCAAGTGTTGAGAGGCCTAGGCGTTAGAACATCAACCCCTCAGCATTATTGGTTCAGAGTTGCTTGGGTGAGAGGGCACTTGTGGCGTGTTGTACCTACACACGCGTGGCGGACAGAGCAGCAGCCTGCTGTAGAGAAGGCCTCAGTCACAGGGCTGTCGATGCTGGCAGTGGCGACTGAGCAGAGAACACCGAAGTGCAAGGTCTGCGTGGTATATGCACGGGCTCTGGCAGACACCATGCACCACAGACTGAGGAAAGGTGCTTGACACACCTGCTTGAAACATCTTCCTTAGTCCATTACCCGGCCTGGAAGATGAGGCTAATTTAATAGTATGAATTTAACTTGTCTCCAAGGTGAATAAATAATCATCACTCAAAAAAAAAAAAAAGTCTTCCGGATTATTGACGTCATGGTCTATGGTATAAGAACTTTGGAACCTTGAAGCACTATTTTCCTGAGCAGACTTAGTTCCCTTTAAGAAAAATTATTATTTTAATAACTTGGTATTTTGTTTGGCAATGAGTTTTGTAGGTTTGTATCCAAATACCATAAGGAGAAAGATAAATGAGTATTTTGGCTTATTTTTTTTTTTTTACTGTGGTATCTTGAAATTTTATTTTTGATCTTTGTTTCTTTTTCACACATAAAAATTAAACACATTTTTAAGGTATGCCACATGAGTTTTTGATATATGTGTACATTGTGAAATGATTACCGCAGTGAAACTAATTATCACCCTGCATAGTTTGTGTACGCACGCATGTGTGTGGTGAGAACACTTGAGATCCACTCTTAGCAAATTTGAAATACACATTATTAATGGTGTATTAATAATACATATACAAATGTACTACTGATACATTATTATTAGTTGCTTTCTTTTAAAAAAACTTTTTATTATGGAAACTTTGAAATATAAAAGCAGACAGAATAGAATGCTGTACCCCCATCTACCCAACACCTAACTTGAACAATTATCACAGCCATCTTCTCTCTTGTATTTTTGTTTTAATTTTTGTGCTTCGTATTTTTGTCTTACAGTTTTTTTTAATGAGGTAAAATTTGCATACAGTGGGATGCACAAATGTACACCTCTGAGTTTTGACAGATGGACATACCCATGTAATCAGTATTGTAGTCAAGATACAGAACATTTCCGTTAACCCAGAAAGTACTCTTGCGTCTCCTCCAGCTTCAGGGAACACTCTTCTGACTTCTGTGACCACAGACTAATGGAATCTGTTGTTGAACGTAATATATGCAGAACCATAGAGCATGCTCTGTGTGGCTTCCTTCACTCAAAATAATGGCTTCAAGATGAGTCCATGCTGTTGCATATATTGGGAGTTCATTCTTCTTTATAATTTGCAGAGCGGTATTCTAATGTTTGAGTATACAATTTATATATTTATTTTCCTCTTGGTGGACATACAGTTTTCTCCTAGCTCTGGACTATGATGACTGCAGCTAATATCAAACATTCTTGTGTAAGGCTTTTCATGGATGTATGTTCTCATATGTATGTTCCCTTATTACAGTTTACTTATGGTGTTATACCACTTA